CTGCGGCCGCGGTCTGCGGCGCCTTCCGGAGAGGGCCCCGCCGGTGCGCTCGCGGCAGCGGGTGCTGTAGCGTTCGAGGTGCTGCTGTGGCAGGTGTAAGAGATTAATTTCTTCGGAAGCTCTGCGTGCGGCGAACTGAGGGAACTGCCCACTAGTGCTTCTTGAAGTAATTTTATTTTTAAGCAGCTGACGTGTGCCTTGTGTGTCTCGCTCGGTGTTGCAGCATGGAGGCTAATTATTTTTTTTATTACGGGAAGTAGAAAGATTTTGCTTTTTATGAGCTAGGGATAAAGAAAATGCAGAAACAGAACAGGTAGTAAAAGCAGGAAGTGAAACCTCTTTGGAAAAACAAAGTTTTCTTGACGTGTGTGGCTTTATTAGTAGAAGATATTTTACTTATGTTTTGATGGCTTTGGTTTTCATGAGAACTTAAAATACACAAAAGTCTGCTCCTGCCTGGAATTGTTTCTGTAGTGGTATGCCGAGCCCTTGCTGAAAGATGGCAGTTTAGACTAGCAGTAATTATGTAAGGTCTCTAGACATGTCGCTCTTAAATTTCAGCTGAACATATCCTGAAGGCTTATATTTTTTTGTAGGCAAGTATTGAAAAATATAGTCTAAAATCTGAGAATATTCTGAAAGGAGGTGAAGAACTGCATCTGCATAATAAAAAAAGATTATTTTTTTTTTTAAATGTAGGTATTATGTAATGTACACTAAGTGTAAGATGACTGTTTGAAATACTGAAATAACGTTGTCAAGTTGTTTTAAGCAAAGTGGTAGGAAAAATTAACAATTGAACTGACAGGCATAGTATTCTGTTGCTCTCTGGGAAAACATCAGTAGCTGACTTGGTCTCCTGAAGTGGATTGGTTGTATGGGTACATAGCAGGACTGATGCTTTGAGGAAAAAAACTGAGGGGTGCTGAAGACAGTAGATTTAGAGGTGGTCTTCTGCTATTATGTAGGTGACAACTTGAAGATCATCAGCTGAACTGCAAGCTTTTCAGAGATTCCTTTTCCAAGGAAGTAATTTAAAAATCTGCTGTTTCTAATAGTCCATTGGGTTTACTAAATAAAATTCTGAATGTTCAGACTTCTGAACGTTCATACAGATTGTTCTGAGACCAGCTAAAAGTAGTTATAAATGTAGTAGTGTTCAATCCAAATTCCACATTTACACTTGAGGTATGACAGTTTGGTAATTCACATCTGGTGAGTTGATGACTGTCCCGAGACTTTTTATTTCACTTGAAAGGTGGAGAAATGGTCTTATTTTCTGTTTTGCACTTTCACGTGAAATTCCCATATACTTTTGTGAATACATCTCAAGAAGCTTGTTCGAGGATATCAATAATCATTTTTAGCTTGTCAAATACTTAAAGCAAGCTATGAGGGCTGAAGTTGAGGACTCTCTGAGGAGTAATGCTTTGTGATAAAAAGGGCTTTTCTGTTTCTTAACACTGTTAGTCAAAGCACTTGAAAGTAGTTGTGTGCTAGATTTGCAAGTTTTAGTCTGTTTCCTCAGTTGATGCATCCTGGTTACTGTTTCAGCAGAATGTAACAGCTCACCCCTGATTCATGTGAGGCAGTCTTTGTAGGAAAACTGCCTTGTGCCACCAAGTGTTTTTAAAAAAAAGATTAAAATTATGACTGATTCTCATCTTAAATCTGAGGATTTCAAGGTGGTTGATAAACACCTGTTAACCAGTTGTTTCAACCATTAAAACAGTAACGATTTATGAAAACGTAAAAGTGAACGTGACTGTATACAGCACAGTTATGGTGCTCAACTACAAAATTTTTTGTAATTTGACTGTCCCCCAGTGGGAGCTTTATCCACTCCTTTCAGTTCCTCCTCCTACCCAGCATTGGAAATTAGTGTAAGACTTGAAGAAGGAAGGAAACTGTTCAAAAAAGGTACCTTTTTTCTTTTGACTGTGTTGCTGTGATTATTTATGTTTACACATGGGTTTCATAAATAGCAGGTTATTCTTCCCAGTCTGTTTTCTTTATAGACCTTCATAAGAGAGTCGGATTGATACCATACTTCTAGTGAAAAATTAAAAGGAAATTTGAAAGCATAATATTCACAGGTCTGCAGAAGATGCCAGTTTCAAAGTTTACAAGGAGTTTGGGCCTGTATTTATTGAAAAGTCTTGATGGCTTTCTGACTCCCATGCTCTCTCTTCTATAGAAAACCTATCCAACTTTATGTAAGATAACAGAAGTCTGTGTTCACCTGTGCTCCATATGCTTGTCATCCTTCTCTAGCTCTGAAACTTTCGAGACGGAACACTGAGGTTTTTGGGGAGTGGGGGAGAGTTGTCAAGAATATGAGTTGGAAAACAGATCAGAATGGTAAGGAAGGGATTATGCAGCCATGAGCTGTTGATTAAACATTGAGTGATTTACATAATCACTCCTGTGTAGTCTGCCTTTTGTAAGCAAGCACTGCTGCTTTTTCCGCGCTTAGTAGTCATACATTTGTGCCAATGTGCCAGCATTTTAACACAGTACACTAAATGAACAGTTTTCTTTTGATGGTTACATAACTGTACGGAAAGTACTATGGTTATTGTACAGGCTCTCTGTAGCAGGGATTCATAATCATATTTTCTAGATTCTGTATTCCATGGACGTACTTTCATTTTGGAGTCCTCCAACTGTTTGTAATGCAAATTCTATTTTTGCACTGTATTAACAAAGTGCTTTAAACTCTGTATGTATACACTTATCTCCTAATTTACTAAGTATTCTCTCTCAGATCTGCAGCCCCATCTATTAAAACTTTGACAGAACTTCGGAGAAACAGAACTTGACAGAGGAAGACTGCTTGCTATTCTATGGCTCTTCTGGAATTCCATTGTATTCAATTTATGCATTATCAAATTGAAAAATTGCATGAGTTTAACTTATTCAGGCAGCTAATGTTGGTCTTTCATAGTTGCATTTAAATTTCTGTCATTATTTCTAATGATAATAACATGCAAATTTGTCTCAAATTCAATTTAAAATTTAAAGTAGACATTTTAGAGAATTGTATTACTGCTTAAAAGACTTAACATTGTAGTAAGACATATGGATCCTGTGGGAATACAAACATTAAAATCTGTGAGCTCTTACCTGAGCTTCTAGCATATAATTGTTGCATTGTTACATATATACAAGGTACACACAGAAAAAATTCTGTACAGCAGAGGTATCACTTTCCTGATTAACATTTTAAGTTCTGTAAGGTTTTTCTTTAAGTAAGGAATGTTATAATAACATCTGAAAAAGCTCAGAATTAAAAGATTGGATTATAGTCCTACAACTGTACAAGATGTTGCTATTCCACCTTTCAGTTAATAAAATGACAGGGAAATACCACTAGAAGAGTCATAAGCCTCATTCTCTGTAGGTTCTGTCTATGCAGTCTTTGTCATTGTATGAATCAATATGTTGGCTTTTGAAAACTTCATTTAAAGTGGAGTATTTCATAAGAGTACAATCAGTCTTTATTGGGGGATCAATGAGATGATTTTGTTGGCAGTTGAAATGCAGAATCTTTCATGTACTGTTATAAACTCTGGGACATCGTGGAGTTATAACTCTACTGCTATAATTTCATCAAATAACTGGTTTTGTTATCCTAAACTCAGGCTTGAAATGCTTAATCTATCTCAACTGGGTAACATGCTGTTTGTAGCTCCTGCTATCGTTGCCGAGTCCTCTTGGACAGAAAAAACACAACTAAATGTGCTGACATAGCAATCTGTGGCCTCAGTACAACTTTCGGAAAAGAGAGTAATGTGGTGGGGTGGGAGAAATAGAAGCATAGCAGTAACATAGGTTCCAGAAAATGTTGGGTTGAGTTCCGTATGAGTCTGCTTAGGTGTTACTTGTTAAAGAAAAAAGAAAAAGTGTAGAAGGAAATGGAAAGATCAATACTTTACTAAGCAGAATTTCTGTTTTGTTTTTTTTTTGTTTTGTTTTTTTTTCTTGCAGCACAACACTAAATTTGTAATGAAATGGAGTCTGGGTCAAGCTCTTTTCGAGTGGAATTTCCAGATTTTTCTAGCACCATTTTGCAGAAGTTAAACCAGCAGCGCCAGCAAGGACAATTATGTGATGTGTCCATTGTAGTTCAGGGCCACCTCTTCAGAGCCCATAAAGCTGTTCTTGCAGCTAGTTCACCTTACTTCTGTGATCAGGTTCTCCTAAAAAACAGCAGGCGTATAGTCCTGCCTGATGTGATGAATCCAAGAGTATTTGAAAACATTCTTCTGTCTACCTATACAGGTCGGCTGGTAATGCCTGCTCCAGAAATTGTTAGTTATTTGACAGCAGCAAGTTTCCTTCAGATGTGGCATGTAGTGGATAAATGCACTGAAGTGCTAGAGGGGAACCCAACAGTTCTGTGTCAGAAGATGAATCATGGCAGTGATCATCAGTCCCCGAGCAGTAGTAGTTACAATGGCCTTGTTGAAACCTTTGAACTTGGCTCTGGAGGACAGACGGAATTCCACAAAGTGCAGGAACTAAGGGATGGCGAAAATGAAGAAGAGAGCTCTAAAGATGAGCTGTCATGTCAGCTGACTGAACATGAGTACCTTCCCAGTAATTCTTCAACAGAACATGATAGACTTAGCACTGGAATGACAAGTCAGGATGGCGAAGAAGGAACTAGTGATAGTGCAGAGTATCAGTATACCAGACCTATGTATAGCAAACCCAGCATCATGTCTCACAAGCGGTGGATCCATGTGAAACCAGAAAGATTTGAACAAGACTGTGAAGGTGTGGATAATCCTTATGATGAGCACCAAGTTTCTGAATCCATGAATGCTATTCAGGCCGATCATTCAATCCAGTCTTCGGGTGTTGAAGACTTTCATATAGGTGACAAAAAGATGGAAGCAGAATTTGATGAACAGGCAGATGAAAGTAATTATGATGAACAAGTTGACTTCTATGGCTCTTCTATGGAAGAATTTTCTGGTGAAAGGGCAGATGGAAATTTAAGTGCCCACAGACAGGATCTTATGATTGCAGCAGGCTATGGTGAAGGCATTGAAATGGCTACAGGAATTAAAGAAGAAACATCCCTCACTGGATTCTCACATGCTGATAAGCTGTATCCTTGTCAGTGTGGAAAAAGCTTTACACACAAAAGTCAGAGAGATCGGCATATGAGTATGCACCTTGGTCTTCGACCTTATGGCTGTGGTGTCTGTGGTAAGAAATTCAAAATGAAACACCATCTTGTAGGCCATATGAAAATTCATACAGGCATAAAACCATACGAGTGTAACATCTGTGGGAAAAGATTTATGTGGCGGGACAGTTTTCATCGGCATGTGACCTCTTGTACCAAGTCATATCAAGCTTCTAAAGCTGAGCAGAGTACTACTGAGATGAACTAAGACTTTAGTGCTTACATTTGTTTAGTAGAGTAAGCAAAATAAACTAATTATGCAAATAATGTCTGGTACTTGCTATTGTAAATTCTCAAAAAAACAAGTTCTAATGATTATGCTGGTATAAGCAGACCAAACTTTTATTTTCCACAGTATTACTCCAGGTGTTCAATGTGTGAAGTGCAAATGGTTAATCTGAAAGGTGCTTGCAAAATGAGGTCTGTAAGGTCTTTGTGACATTGATTGTAATCACAGCAGTATTTAGAAGCCCTGTTGTTTTTCTAAGTCTTCTAAACTCACAGTAAAACCCAGTTCTAAATTGACCCAAATCCTTCAAATACATAGATGAAGCAGGAATTCAAGTAGCCCTACTTAGTGGAAAAGAGAACTAGGATGACTAAACCAGGTTATATGATTCACATTTTAATGAAAAAAAATTAGAATTCCACCTCAAACTGGAGACGGCCAACATACTTAACATGCATCATTAGATAGTGTACATCATTAAATAGCCTTTGCTGTATTGCTTAATGAAAGGCTGTGTTAAAGATGGTTTGGCTTTCCTTTATCTGTCTTCCATTTTTTTATCCATCTTTACTAAAACAAATGTCTAATTTTGTGCTGATTTCTATTTAGAATCTGTAAAGCACTTAAATATAGTTGAGCACTATATAAACTTCAATCTGTATTAAGTATAATTTGTCTTTGCTCCTCTAGGGTCTAATGCTGTATGAGTCTTGGCTTGACTTGATTTTGATTGCTACATCGTGAGAGCTTCTAGAAGTGTCTGTAATAAGTATAGCTTGTCAAAAAAAAAAAAAAGAAATAAGATGTAACATTTGGAACTTACCCAAACCAATCAAACATTTAAACTGTAGTTTTCTGTTCAGATTTTTGTGGCTTACTACAGTAGCAAGTACCAAACTCTGTGGATTCATGAATTGACTTTTTATTGGTACAAAAACTTCTTTGAGAACTTCTATATAGTTTTAGAAACCTGTTTTAGGAAAATTTAGTCATTGATAGGTATTTATACTTTTAATTCTTTACTCTTTGAATAGTAAGAACTATAATACAGATTCTTGGTACTGAACTACTGTGACTGGTTACATGTGATCACAAGCAGCCAGAGTTGTTTACCTCCTCAAACAAAGTTGCTTGTGGAAAAAAAGTAGAAAGTATGGTATTTGGATCTGTTAATGGTACTGCAGAACATGGTACCATGCTCACATCCGAAGTCTGGATTTTTACTGGGAAAGTGGCACTTCTGCTTCTTTAGGGTGAGGATCTATATGCTGGGCTCTCATTCTTAGAGATAGATGGAGGAGTGTTTGTAGTTCTGAGAGATGCTGCCAGCTCTGCAGGTAGAGTGAATGCATCAATTGTAAAGGTGGCAACAGGATTTTGGGGTTGAAAGCTTAATGCAGTCTGATGCAAAAGCAATTAACCCTTCTTTGTAGTTTACTGAAACATATTATAAAAAAGGAAAGAGCCTTTAGAGCATACAAAGACTGTAATAGAAAGGGGTGATGTCCAAGTACAGTGCTGGTAACATGGGGGAAAAAGTTAACCAGCATCGAAGGCCTAAGCCTCTCTGCCCCCAATTTATGTTTTAGATACTGCAATATGCAGGATAATGTACTTAAACAGATGACCCTGTATGGTGACATTACAAGGAAAAACACACAAAGATAATTACTACTAAGATGCTTTTTTGAACTCCCTGTTACAAATTGTCTTAAGATACAGCCGAACTGTATCCTGAACATGAATGTCTGGTACAAGCGGGGGGTTTACTACTCAGTGGGCTGTAATTACTGTAACTTCTTTTCTGGCATTCTACTTACAAACTTTAATTTTTTTAAGAGGCTCTTAATTCTTAATCTTCTAATGCTTCAGATATTTTTCATATGGAATTTTGTTAAAACAGATATTCCCAAATATGATGAACCCATTGCTGGCAATGGGCATGAATGGTCAGCACCACAGAGTTCCTATTCTTAGCACTTAATTGAACTCTACAATATACCATGGTGGCCATATATAACCCTTGTAATCAAGGTAACTAAACAGGGATTTGCTCACTAACACTGTAACCTGCTTAATGTATAGAAGCACTTTGTATTTAAAAAAAAAAAAAAACAAACCGTAAAACTTTATAAGTATGTTTTTTAAACTTAGAAATTATATTCCCTTTATGGTTTGTTTCCACACTGCTAACACTGTCTTTTTTAATATTAAAAAAAAAAATAAATTATAATGCTTGCCTGTTTACATGAGTGTAGAGAAAAGGGTTCTTGCACTCAGTGGCCCTATTTTTCCATTCTCCAAGGCCTTACTACATACAGGGTGTCATTTCTGCAAGTACCATCATCACATTTGAGGGAAGGTATTCTCATACTCATTTCAAAGGTGATCTTGTATATTACATTAGTTCTCAACCCCTTTCAAATTGTCACTTCAGTGTTGCATAAAAAGGTTAAGGGTGCCTCTTCCCATTTAACCATAAAAAAGGCTGGTCAGAAACACCAGGCTGAAAACCATGGTCAAGCAAGAAATTATTTGTTAAACCCAGACCATCCTACAGAGCTGCCAGCAAAACTGTTTCTTTTATCAGCTTGGAATGACTTTTATATGGGACATTTCAAAGTTGAACATTACTCATATTTGCAGTTAGATTACTTTGAAATAAAGCTTTAAAATAAAATGTACTGCGAGAGACACTTTAAAGGTTTTATAACAGGTCCAGTAGATCATATTATAGAACCATGTCCTTTTTTAATGACTTAGCATGAATAGTAACTTTTTAATACTTGCCTATTACTGTTTTACCCCATATTATGACATTGTCTTGAAAGTCCAACAAAAGTTGCTCCACTGATTTTGTAGTGCTTGGCATTCTGATATTAATTTACACGAAACCAATTGATTGCAGGAAAATACTGATATGATTGTCATGAGATCTAGTTGAGAGGATCGATGATTTGAGGGAAGCTTGAGATACATGTCTATAATCCTTACTTTTGCTTATCGCAGGCAAAACAGTTGACTTGTGGTGGTTTTCCTCAGTTTAATTTATTGCCCTTTGACAAACTGCTAATCGCCGATTCAGGTATTGGGGGGAAAAAAGGTAACAAAAAATTACTTAAACACTTAAGGAAACATCTTTCCTCCCCCTTCCTCAGTCTCAACTTAAGCCTAACACCTTTCCTCCCTGCTTCTGTTTTCCTTGTTTTCACCAAGAGTTGCACTCAGCCTATGCCAATTCTTTTAGTGAGGTGACAGATCACACAGGAGTTTGGGCTCATAATGCATACTGGCTTGTCTGACGCTCTTCATTTCTTAGTGGGTGTCCTCTGCTGCTCTGGGCTGGTCAGTGTCACTGTTCATGGTGATGCTGGGCCATAGTCCCTTCAGGGATGTGCCTGTTCCAGCTTGCGTCTCCTATGGGCCTCGGTTACTTCAGAGGTGTACCTGCTCTGGCATGGCTTAGCTATAGGCCAAAGTCCCCTCAGAAGTGAATCCTCTCAGGCACGTAGTGAGTCCTTCTGTGGGTATGTCTCTATAAATGTTCTCAGTGTCTTCTCCATGTGTTGTCCCAAGAGCAGCTCTTCAGTTTCTCTGCATGTGTTTCCAAATGTGTTTCCCCAGGAGTATCTTCTTATGTGTCTCCGTGTACCTCTTGCTAGCAGCTGCCACTCTTTCTTAGAGTATGTTTAAGCAGAGGCGCTGTGTGAACCTCTGGTTGAAGTTTGGGCATGCAGTGGATTGTTTACATCCGCTTCAGTGCAGGCTAGAACCTCTTTTGACTAGCACAGGTTGCAGTTCGCAACCTCTTGCCACATGTCACCTTTGCAGCCCCCTACTACTAAAACCCTGCAATTTATGGCCAATACAGATGTACATAGTAAATCAAGATATGCGATGCAGCTTCTGTCAGGCTCTTAATCTTTGCTAATGAAGTGGTCTTGTTCAAGATACAAGAAATTATTTCTTGTTTGTGGGGAGGAGGGAAGCAATCCTTATATATATATAATATGAATGCATATGTGTATAATGAATTTCATTAATCTTCCCTTAAGCTTCATCACCTTTAATGATATGGCTTAGAAACATCTGTGCATTTTTATATTGCTCGCTGTTGGCTGTAGTAAAGTGAATGTCTTCTGAAAACCAGAATCATTGTACACACAGGAGGCTTTCAGAATTTCCTGCTACTGTGAAGCCATTCATTGTCCAATCAGTGGTAAGAACACTTAATGATACTACAGCTAAGTTTTTCATTCCATTTTGAATCTAAGATGTTAATTACCATGGAATCTGTGTAACTACCATTCTGAAAAATTCAACTATTAGCAGGGTTATATGTCTGCTTAGGTGCGTATCTGACCCTCTTGAGGGAGAAGGTTCCTGTTTCACACACCACTGTTGGGGTTTTTTGTTGTTTTGGTTTTTAAAGCATTACCTTATTTGTTTTATGGGTGAGCAGGTAGACTCTAGAAGGTACTGTCAGTACAATTTTTGGTCTTAGCTTTTTTTCATCTGAGGCGTTTCTGGGGTTGAGTAACTTTGTCCTGTATCGAAAGCAAGGCAGATGATCAAAGGCTAATGTACTGGGTTTCTCATTAATAAAAAGAATATTTGATGTCCCTGTGTTACTGAGGCAGAAAGAAGGGAGGCACGTCAGGTCTTGTAATCCCAACACTTTGGTGCCAGAAAGGTGACCTGTCTCTGAATTATGAGAGCCTACAGCAGTGTATTGAGTATTTTGCTTTAACAGAATTAGAACCTTTCTCAAAACAACAAAGGAAAGTTGTTGTTTGGTTGTTTGTTTTTTTTTTAATCATTTAAATGCTTCATTGGATAGCTAGGCTTGTTTAGCTATAAGCTGTAAACTGGCAGTGCCCTAGGGAAAGATGCTGGAAAACAAAATGGTATATTTTTAATGTGATTAAATTGTAAGTTCTGATTTTTGCTTGAAGCCTGTGTCTGTTGATTGCTGCTCCTTTTTTTTATTATTCATGGGATTCCATATTTCTTCCAGAAATGTAACTGTTTATGCAAGTCAAGTGAATCTTCCTTAATGAGCTATAAGTTTTTATTCTAAACAAGTCATTTATAGTAAATTTGCATATCTTGATATTTTGTGAGATGTTATGCCTGTATTGCAGAGGTTGGATAGTTTTGTCTATAAATATTGCTGTCCTAATTGTACAGCATGGTTTTAATTTAATGTTACTGTTCAATATTTTCTTCTTATAGAAGAGTCCCATGCCCCTTTTTTGTATAACATGTTTTAATAAATGTTATCTGTCAACTTTGTAAATGTTTTCTTAAGCTTGAATGAAAGGAATGCATGTCTAGTACTAGTATTTAATATTTCACTTTTGCCAAAACGATAAGTGCTCAAACAAGTACAAATCCAAAAGTTGTTGATATATAACTTTATTAAATATATAAAGAAAAAGTGTATCTAGTAATGTGTCTTCTTGAAATATTGAGAACATGCCAGCCTAGCCTAAGAAAACACTAAACTAAAAAGTGATTTTTTTATAACACAGTAAGTTGATGAATTTGTGGAATTGGGCCCATTCCTTTGGTGCTTAGGTAATTGGTTCCCATGTTAGTCCAAATTTATCAAACAGGAGTTACTATAACAGTTTTTTGCAGAATGGTCATCTCTGGAGTTACAATACAGAATGTACAGGCTGATAGGAAAATTCCAGAACACTCGCTTCATAGTAGCAGCAACTGCATGCCCAAAAAGCCTACAGGTAAATTTGAAGGAGGTACAGATAACGTGTAGATTTTTTTTCTTGTCCAAGTATGAAAAATTTCATACTGCGAAAAAGTATTAAAGATTAAGTTTCCATTATCTTCCTGTGTGAATTCCTCCTCTCCCTGACCAAATTTAGGTACTTGAATGGAATGACTTACTTTGCCCAGCATCCATCTATTAGTCCTCATGGAACTGTCATAGCTGATGCTTCTTACTCAGCAGCTTAATGCTTGCTATCTAAACAAAACATGAGCTCACTCATTTAAAGCATATTCAGCTAATTCCTGGAGAAATCAGTATTTGTGTACACACTCCTCGGTCTTCAGCAACTTTTAAACAGAATATGGTACAAGCAAATTGATTTGCTATTGCTGTGGGTTATGCTTACTGAATACACATAAGAACAAGCCCGAAGTACTCTCTCTGTTCAGAATCAGCCTTTGATTTTCTTTGATATGAGTGAACAAATACCAATTGGTGCACCTGTTATTTAACTTTGTTATTTATGCATTGGTCAGGATGCCCCCCCCCCCCCAGCTGCTACTTTATCTGATTACCATTCAACACCTCATTTCTGAAGGCTGTCTTCCGTATGTTTTATGGGGAGATAAAGATGTACCTCCTGAAGACAAAACGTGATGTCCAAAGTTAGACCACGTGGATATCCCAGCGGTACCTACTGGCAGCGTTCACTGACTTTTATCGAGCAGCACGTGAACTGTCTGGTAAAACAGTGAATCGTTGCCCAACGCGAACTACAAGCATATGCAAGATAAGCTCAAAAAACACGTGCATGCTTGCTAAAGCAATTTGTGTAAGTTACAAGGGCAGTGTAGCACGAGTCAACTCTTTAATTCCTCGGTTAGGGTGGTCAGTAAAGGTGGTAGTTCACAGCTGGGGGGTGGTCCTCTCCTAAAAGCTTCCTCGCTGCATCTCCGTGCTCCCAGACGGGTGTGCCGTCTGAGGCGTGCCCGAGGCTGCGGGACAAAAACGACCGGTGTCTCCAAAGGCGGGAGAGCGTACCCCTCCAGCGAGGAACGCTTCTGGTGTCATGCTGAGCTGCTCACAGTAATCTCTGACGCCTTTGTTCTCATTTGTTTTAAATCCTCCACTACCGGTACCTTTTTGAATGCGCGTTACGTTAGGAAGCCAAGCACCGTGAGAGCCCGAGGGACGGATTTGCCCGCGTACGCACCGACCGCAGCAAAGGCTTAAACTCCCGTCTGTCTTCGTGCTGCACGGGAGACGCCGGCCCTCCCCGGCCGCGATGCGGGCCCCAGGTTCGGCGGCCGCCGGGAGCGCGTCCGACCCGGGGGGCTGAGCGGCGCGGCG